ATTTCTCGAAAGCGAGAAGCTAACAACATCATTGTTACGTATGTTTTTATGAACGTTTTGATTCTATCTTGCTTTCACAAATCGCTAGTTAGATTACGCGTTAATACTTCAATACTTATGTCAAGAATTTTAAAGCTTTCACGGCTACGGTTTACACAGCCGTTACTTATTCCAACTACTCGCTTCCAACGTTCAATATGAATTATATCCAGACGTTTTGCCTGCATTGCAGCCAACGTATCCCCGTTGGTCATACGATACACCGACATTTAGCCCAGTTATAATTCTCGCTTGTCTCTCGTATCCAGACGAATCAACATGTCGTGCGTCTTCTCTCTAAAATAAAACGGATTAACAGAGGGAAACAGAATAATTCCCTTTCGTAATTTCAAAAGCAACACTTTTCTCACACACTTCGCACTCACATAGAGATAAATAGATAATTAAAAAGAAACACATGGTAAAATTCATTGAACCAAAAAATACCGAAAACCAACAATTTCGATATTCATTCTATTCCTTCCCTATGTACACATTTTCTTATTCTTTCACTGCAACAACGGATCAATCAAGAATCACGATTATAGCAAAATTGTATCAATTCTAACATGGCAAAGAAACAAAAAAATATCCACATCTCAACAAAATTTCCAAAAAAATTTACCAATAATAATTTACGAATAACCACGGCTCGTAAATGGATTTCACCTTCGTGGAAAAGAATCGTCTTATTAGCAGAGAATCTCCATCTTCGATCATCCCTCTTTCGCACAAATATACGCACGAAACGCACACACGGTTCCCGAAAACGCACCCGTGTAATAATAACCGAGCAGGGGGATACAAATAAGGGCCGTGCCCGATTACACCGATGCAACGTGTTACACATTTTTCGACCGGCCCGCACAATGGAGGGATACACGCGGCGCTGGAATAACTCTTCGTCCACCGGGGGAGGGAGGATGAGGGAGGGGGCGAAGATGCGCGGAGCGGATGATAAGTGTGGGTGAGGAGGAGGCGAGATCGGCGGGAAAAAAGGACCGCGGTTGCACCGTGTATCCGCTTGATGAGAACAAGAAGCGGGAGGATGATGCTTTGGTGCCGCCCTCTTTATCCTCGCGCAACGACACGAAGAAGAAGAGGAGGAGGAGGAGGAGGAGGAGGAAGAAGAAACTCGTCGTGAGACGAACCGTGCAGGGTTTGCAAGGCGTTTTACGTGATGCGCGATGCAACCGATTGCAACCGGTTGCAAGTTTTACAATGTTTTTATAACGTGGATACTCGTTGTGACTCGTTTGTAAAATTCATTGGGTGGAAGAGTTTGAGTTTGGAGGGGCGCGATTTCACATTTGGTTGGCAAGTTTTAGTGTATCGCGTTTAGAAAAGAAACTCTATTTGATTTGGATGGGGTGGAAACTTTGTTGGTGAAGGATATTAAGCGAGAGAGGTAGATAAAAGAAGTAGAAAGAATATGAAGAATATAAATGGAGAAATATAATGATACAGAGTAAATTATGATTGTATAGATAATATATATTTGGAAGAAAGTTCGAGGATCGAGATTTAAAGGCAGAGACGAAATGTACACAGAGTGTATACGTGATATATATACACTGTCCAGTCGACAGTCTTTACACGTTCATCGAATAATATTAGCGTCTAAGATAAGTTAATAAACCTCGTCCCAATGATTCATCGTTTCGAGCCGGCCGCTACTTATCTAATCGTTCCACTTTGCGACAGTTTGCGCTTCGTTCACCCTAATGCATGTAATTAATATGTAATCGTTTCTTCTTCTTTTTTTCTTTCTTTCTTTCGTTTATTTATATCTGGCATCGATACACAGTCGTGCTCGACTCACGACTGGTTTATCGATAACTACTAGGCTTATCTAGTCTCGCGAACTTATCGTTCAGGATCGGCGAGTAATTGCTCTGTCTCTCGCGGTTTGATCATCGGGTATCCAAGTTAGTCATTTTTTTTTTCAAATGAAAAGCAATTTGATGGAAGATTAACGCGTGCAGCATAGAAGCGTGCATTTTACGCTGCGTTTCTAATGCGATTTATTAATAATTGTAGACTTTTCCTAATCTTTTAAATCTTTAAGAAAAAAGAGACAAGAGTGATCCTGTTTAATTTTTCGGTCGGTGGATATCGTTTATTTTTTTTTTAGATCTCGTGAATCTCTCGTTTCTGGGAATATATGTTTGAATTGTTCGAAAGAGAGCCGATAGAAATCCAAGATTTATATCTCCTTATAATAATTTGTGTAAGGTTTATAATTGCTCGATCGTATATTCTACCGCATAACTGAATTTCAATACGGGAAACGATTATTAATTTCATTTCCAAGTATATTCATCAACTCGATCCTAAAAATCCTAAGATTTCCGAGCAAAGGTCACGTCGACGGAATATTCATAGGAAAAAGTCAACGAGACTTTCTCCAAAGTTAATCACCTCCATCTTCACAGGAGAGTTAATTTCCTGGTCCGTAAAAAAAAAAACCTGGCAAATTATTAAATCGCTAAATAAATTAAATCGTCTAAATAAATTTTCAAACTTTTTATCTTATTATCATTAATCACGATTAATCAGGAAAATTTGATAGAGACTCGGCCGAGAGCAAAGGTCACACGACGGAAGAGAGACAAGAAGACTGTTCTCCGTCGGCGCACGGAGGTACACGGAGGTACACGTACGTAGTGGAACACGGAAGAGGATCGCGTTGTCGCGAATAGGGCAGATAAAGCGTACACGTTACCTGTATGAGGTGGGCAAGGAACAGGACGTAGGCGGCGGCCGCCCTCATGTCTTTCCTCGAGGAATCCCTCGACTACCGCATCACCATTCCCCCCGTGGATGGGTCACCTCCTTCTCTAGCTCTTCTCCACCTCCTCTCCTAACTAAAAATTTTTCGATCGAACGAAAAAAATCCTTCCTGCGTAATCCTTTCCTATTTTATATATATATATATATATATATAAATGTATTTGTATATAATCCCTCGAACCTCGTAACTCCAAGAGAGTTTGAAATCGATTCAAGAAAGAGCACTGTTCACAAGTTCACGAACGATTATCGATTATCCCGCTCCCGTTTTCTTCTTCGATCGTTTAACACTTCACTTCTTCGAATTATTATTTATTTCCGGTCCGCGGGCACACACTTATAAATACGAGCCACTGTTATATATATGTATACATATATATCTCGTTGAATCTCACGGTTCTCCACTCTTCGTAAGTATAATAACATTGAATATTCCGTTGAAATTAATATTTTCTCCTTAAAGGACACTATTCAATCACTATGTTTTAACACTTTGTTTTATATACGTAACAATACGTGTGGGAGTAGCGTAGTTGAGAATGTTTAGAGGAGGAAAATATAATTGGATAGAATATAACGTGGGATATATCGATAGAGAGTCGGTTTTCTCGCGGTTCGGGTAGAGAGATCGAACTTTCTAACGAGGACGATCCAGGATGCGCGGGACGGGCCTCTGAAGATGTTTACGTGCACTCTCGCGTCGCGACAGGTACACCTTTCCCTCGTACGGTTGCCTTTGATCGTGCGATATCGGTAGGTCGTTACGATCCTCTTCGTTTTTCCCTCCTCTCTCTCTGTCGGTTCCCTTCTCTCGGTTTCACCTCGATCAAAAGGTAATTAATCGAGTGGAGCCGCGCGTCCGTTGTTGTGTTCGCGCGATAAACGCGTCTTCTTCCTGGATCTTGGCACGGAACGACCTCCTTTTGCTCCTCGAAAATTATTTTCCAAAATACGCGCGAGGGAACGACACGTGATCGTTCGAGATCCCCTTTCTCTCGCTCCTCTCTCCTTTCCTCTCTCGCCTCGTCGTCCAAACCGTTGGCTCGAGCTAGCACGTGCTTATTCCACACCCCTGGAAATTCACGTGAAATATCTTTTATTCGATGCGAAGATCGATCGATCTCGGGGATCACCTCACTATCAGTTCGTTCGAACGAAATCCACTTTGCCAAATAAATCCAAACCCACGTAAATCGAATGGAATCGAGTTTCATCCAATATCCGTGGTCCACGATCTTCTTCGATCATCGGGTTCCAATCCTATAATCCCGTAATCGACAAACTTTCGTACGAAATTCACTCGAGATCCTCTCTCTCTCTCTCTTTCCTTTCCTTCAAAGGAGGAAGGAATCGCACCCCTCGTAACTCGCGCTACAGAGTATCTTCGAAACGCTGGTTTGGTTTCGATAAACACGCGCGTGTCGTCGAACCGTCGCGGTCGCCTCTGTCGCCAGATATCGGCGTGTGTCCCTCACCGAGGAGGAGAGGAACAGGTGTGTGGATCGCGGCACACGCGCGCGTGCCTCGTGCACGTACGCGCACCTTTCCACGATTCCACGCGTGTACGTGTGCGTGGCCCAGGCGTGCGTGCACGGCCACGTTAATCCGCGGTGTATACCTTCGTTCTACCTTCGTATGCGCGTGTGTGTCTATGTATGTGTGCGCGCGCGCGCGATACACAGCTGTGTCGTGCACGCTGGAGCACGGAAACGCAGCACCTCCGCGGGGTACACGAGACGGTCGCTCCGGGGATACTGAGTCGGAGCCGCAGGCCGGCCTGCGGGCCTCCCCCCTCCCCCTCGCCAGACACACTCTCATTCGCTCTCACTCCCTACCCTTCGTCTCGGTTGCACCCAAGCCGTCTCCTTCCCTCCTTCTTCACCCACGGACCCCTTCTTCCTACTACCACCTTCTCCGCCACCTCCACCGCGGGAGCATCCACGACTCCCACCACCGCCGCCGCTCTTCGCCCCTATGGATCTCTCTCCCTCCCTCTCTTTCTCTCTTTCTCTCTACAGTCCGCTTCTTCTCTCGGTTCTACGTCCAGCGTGGCCGATCGTTCTCTCCTCCTCGGTGTATACCCGGTGGATACGCTCGTGGTGCACGCACGGATCTCTCTAATCCTCATGGTCTGCCTTGGTGCGCAACGTTCGTTACGAGATTGTGTGAGGGGAGGAGGGGGGTGTACGTGCGTGTCGGCGCACACAACTACGAGAGGGGAGAGATATTCCGTCTCTGTCCGGATCGCGCGATTGCCTTTCCAGAGAACGGCATTACACACGATCGTACACTTGCCGCGCCGTCGGGATGCTGGATATCCGCGGCGGCGGCGGCCCGCTCGCGTATATCTTCACGATCGGTTTCATCGAGCGAGCCTTCGTAAACGGCCACGTAGGTTGTGTATTCTCACCTTTTGCCTAGCGAGGGGATATCGAGTTCTCGTGCAACGAGCACGTTTAACGTCGAAGCATCGCGCGGGAGCGTGGTGTCGAAAAAAACAGGTTCAATTTTCTTCGAGACCTTTTTCGAGACCCCCCTCTTTCGCTTCGATTAATGCTGTTAATGCGGTTACGCAAGACGGGAGGAGGGATATAGATATATAACGAAGGGGGGATGAAAGGATGTCGAAAATTATGTATATTCCGGAAGAAGGATTTCGGGCGAATAATGAATAATGGATAAAGTGGCTGTCGCGTGTCCACCGTCATTATGTTTGCGAATCGTGGGATTCAGGAGAAAATGCCATCGGCGGTGATCGTCATTGAATTTCTGCCCCCGTATACAATGTTCCACGTAATTCCCGTGTCGAGTTATCGGGACGGGACGGAGGGACGGCCGGTTAAATGGCAATAAATTATCACCGGCAACTGGGCCTCTCCCCGGACACTGCTGCTCACCTCCTTTCTACTAGTCGCGTCTCGTACCCCGGCTGCGAAGCCAGTTGTTCCGCGAAACGGAACGATCCAGGAGAAACCGAGGGGTGATCCGTCTCAAGTATACATCGTATTCCTCTCGACTCATCGACCCTGATCGTTAATCGCCAATTCGAAAGTAAAATTTGGACGAACGAAGTTGAATCCACGAATGATATCCTTCCTCTCTATAACTCTTCTCTTCGTTTTTAACGCGCGTACAACGTGCATGGTGAAATTAATTCACGGAGGAAACGCTCGATCCCTCTCCCCCCCCCCCGTGGTGATCGAAATTAAATTTTCGCGATTCCTCCTCCCGGCAGCCCTGATCTCTTCCACTCGTTACACCCGGCGAGGTCAGCCTGTGAAAGAACCTGTATATGAGAGGAGACGATACGGCGCAACATCGAGGCGAGTCGTCTCTGCTTCCCTCTCCGTCTGGCCTGTTCTCCTCGCGCGGAGAATCTCTCGCAAGTCGAGTCCACGATGGGTAGTAGCGTGCCAGTATGGTGCACCGTGGTCCACGGACGGATGGACGGATCTCCACGGACAGCCCGGTAGTAGTGGGATACTGGTCTAACTCTTCGTTCCTTCCATCTCCTTCTCTCGCGCGTAAGGCCCCCTTTTTGGTCCCTCTGCTCTATACATATATATACGCGTCTCTTTCTCCCGTGGCCGCTCATCCTTCATCTTTTTCCCGTCTGCCTACCGCAGCCAGAGAGAAGAATATCCCATCTCTCCCCGTCTCTTTCCACCGGCCTGTTGCTTTACTCTCCTCGAGGGCCCCGAGGAGAGAAGTTAGCCAGCGGGCATCATGGTGGTGGCTACACCGCTGGCTTCTCGCGTCTCTCCAAGACTCGCAACTCCGAGAGTGTGTGCCCCCCCGCCCGAGGGTCAAGGAACTCCCTCGGGAACAGGTTCACCTCCTCCTCCTCCTCCCTCTACCGTGGCGGTGGTACCTACTACTACTACTACTACTACTCCTCTCCCCCTCTCGTCCCTTCTTCTCCTCGTGGCATGGTCTTCTTCTTCTTCCCTCCTCCCACCTTCTGCCGCCCTATGCCCCCTCCGGTCCGTACCTTAGGGTTTTACTTATTTTCTCTTATTACCGCTGGTGGGCATGTGGCCACGCTTAACACGCACTCACACATGCTCAGGGGGCGAGCGCAGTCGGTGTACACGCTATCGGCGCCTTGGTCCAGCTCAGAGTCCCGTCAGTCTCTCCCTTCGTCCCCTTCCCGGGAGCCTCTTCTTCTTCTTCTTCTTCTGCCTCTTCTTCTTCTTCTTCTTCTTCTTCTTCTTCTTCTTCTTCGCTGTTTTCACCCCACTCGTTCCCTTCTTGTCTCTCTCTCTCTCTGTCTCGACTCTCCTTAGGTACTCCAATATGTGAGCACATTATTACAGCCTCAACAGAGGCAAGAGCAAGCACCGCGGGTTTTCGAGGGGGTTACGCTCGGGATTGGGAAGGGGGAGGAGGGGGATGAGGCTGAAGCCATGGCGAGACGCGCTCCAGCAACGTGGAGACTGAGAAAACGCGCGAGCGTTACACGCAAGGGTGTTTGGGTGAATCTCCGCTCTCCAGGTTTCGAGTCACAGGTATATCCGTTCTTCTTTCTCGTTCGAGAGTCTTTGCCTCGTTCGATCCTCCTCTTCTCTCTCTCTCTCTCTCTCTCTCTTTCTCTTTCTTTCTGTTTCTCTCACATCCTTGTGCCCGCTGTCCCAGGCGAACTACCTTCTCGTCAGATACCAGATTCCACCTGTGCTGCCTGTGATATCTTGCCCGGTGCTGCCATGCTCATCCGCCTTGTCCTCCTTGTTCTCTCCCTCGTGTCGTGAGATCCTCTCGAATTCGTCCACCCGCGGTTCGTTCTCTCTCTCTCTCTCACGCGCGCGCGGAATTCTTTTTCGATTCTCCGCGACGACATTTTTCCTTCCATCGAACCGTGCAACTTGTTCTCCATTATTAGCTCAGATTTTACGATCGCGTCGTATAATACGGCGACAATTGGATCAAAACACTGCTCTTAGGTTGGTGAGTTAAAAAAATTACGAAATCACGAAATAATCGTGAAACTTGAATGATATGATAAGAGAGAAATTAATTTGCAACAAGGTTGTTTTATAATCGATATTTTTCTATGTATGAATTTTGGATAAGTTATCCTTCTTCTTCTTCGCTTCTTACACTTTCCTTTTATTTTTCTGATTACGCTCCGCCGTTTCTTCAAACGCGTTTCCGGCTCATTTCCATTTCGATTATTTCTGCCAGGTATTATCCGTGGGTCGGTTAAGGCCTGCGCGAAATTAAGGCGTAATGGATACGCGACGGGGTACAAACCGCGCATACGCTCAAGGATTTTAATGATCTTTCTTCAGGTATTCGTCGGCCGGCTATAGATACCAGATTCCAGTTGGGCCGCCGCTTCGAAATCCGCGTCTTCTCGTCGTCGCGAGCAGAGAGTTTCTTGCCTCTGGCTTCTACACCGGCTGTCGTGAATTCGCCCTTCACTGTTGACGTTTCTAGAGGAACTCGTGAGAGTAATTTGACGGCGGTATTTAAAGGGGAGAGAGAGAGAGAGAATGTTCCAAGTTAATGAAATAATGGATAGATTGAATATTTAGATAAAACTAAACTCTGACCACGATTTTTAATTTTTAAAATTATTACATATTTATCTTCTTTTCTTTACATTTATTATAAATAAGTTAGAAGGAATATATAAAAATAATCCAACTCGCTATTACGAACGGGAAAAGGAGAGGTAATATAGTAAAAATTTCTCATGGATGGAATACTGGTTGATCGATTCCCAACGGAATTTGCATGCGTATCACGAAGTCACGGTGTTCTTCCCGGTTCCGTTAACCGCGAACACACGTCAGTGTGTCCTTTTGACACGACGCGTTAATTGCTCCGCAATGAAATCGCGTTACCCGTTATGTAACTGCGAATTAAAAGCCGTCTTCGATTCGAAAATAGCGTTGTAATCCGCTCGAATATTCGCGCAAATATTCTACAAAAAAAAAAAGAAAAGAAAAAGAAAAAAAAAGAAGCCGTAATTACTATCGTATTAGTATTCAGTTTTCAACGAACCACGCGGTGAAAATACAGAAAGAAAAAGAACTCTCGCTTATATTCTCGTATTCTTGCTCGCTCGAA